AGATAGATAGATAGATAGACAGATGATAGATAGATGATAGATAGACAGATGATAGATAGATAGATAGACAGATGGTAGACTAGATCGAGACAGGTAGACTAGATCGAGACAGACAGACAGACAGACAGACAGACAGACAGACAGACAGACAGACAGATACATAGATAGATAGACAGATGATAGATCGATCGATAGACAGATGATAGATATAGACAGATGATAGATAGATAGACAGATAGACAGATAGATAGACAGATGATAGATAGATAGAACAGACAGACAGACAGACAGACAGACAGACAGACAGACAGACAGACAGACAGACAGACAGACAGATAGATAGATAGATAGATAGATAGATAGATAGATAGATAGATAGATAGATAGATAGATAGATAGATAGATAGATAGAGACAGGTAGACATAGATAGAGACAGGTAGACATAGATAGACAGACAGACAGATAGATAGAGACAGGTAGACTAGATAGAGACAGGTAAACAGACAGACAGGCAGACAGACAGGCAGACAGACAGACAGACAGATAGATAGCTAGATAGATAGAGACAGGTAGACTGACAGACAGACAGACGGACAGACAGACAGACGGACAGACAGACAGACGGACAGACAGACAGACGGACAGACAGACAGACGGACAGACAGACAGACGGACAGACAGACAGACGGACAGACAGACAGACGGACAGACAGACAGACGGACAGACAGACAGACGGACAGACAGACAGACGGACAGACAGACAGACGGACAGACAGACAGACGGACAGACAGACAGACGGACAGACAGACAGACGGACAGACAGACAGACAGATAGATAGAGACAGGTAAACAGACAGACAGGCAGACAGACAGACAGACAGACAGACAGATAGACAGGTAGACAGATAGATAGAGACAGGTAGACTGACAGACAGACAGACAGACAGATAGATAGCTAGATAGATAGAGACAGACAGGTAGACGGACAGATGGACAGACAGATGGACAGACAGACAGACAGACAGACAGATAGACAGATAGACAGATAGATAGAGACAGGTAGACTGACAGACAGACAGACAGACAGATAGATAGCTAGATAGATAGAGACAGACAGGTAGACGGACAGATGGACAGACAGATGGACAGACAGATGGACAGACAGACAGACAGACAGACAGACAGATCAAACAGCTAAATCCATCATGAAATCGCTGGTTCTGTAATGTGAGTAAGGCACAGGCACAGCATTCAAATGCTGGCCAGGTTTGTTGCGGCTCAGCAGGTTGTGATGCTCGTGGACTGTTGTGTCATCTTCCTGTTCTCCGCCCAAACATGAGATAAGCAGCAGTGACAGGGATACGATCCTCATCTAATCTCATTTTCCTGCTAAGTGGATCAGTGTTTAAAAGAAGCCGAGGGAATGCAGACCTGCCAATATGTGAAGCGGGGACACGACTCAGACTCAAGAGTGACTGACTGCATGAGAACGGATGCCAATAATGCCGCTTAAAAACACTTTCCATCTGACTATTATGGAGAGAGTGTTATTATATATGTCCATTTACAGTTTTAGCTCTTTTTATTCCAGTGTCTCACATAAACTCTGAAGTCAGACTGACAGACTGATGCAGTACATGTCAGCTGAGGTCACGTAATATCTGTTTCCATAGCAACATGCAGCCACCAACAGAATTACAGAAAGCGCAAATAGTCGGTTCTCAGGAAGCAGTTTTATCACCTGCTGAACCTGCAAAATGAGAATAAATGGAGCTAAAAAATAGTTTTTCATTGACGCCAAAAGTGGGTTGAATGTTTACAACTGTGCAAATTGTAGAGGATTTTATCCTTCAGAGGATAAAAATCATTCCCAAGCACTGCTGCTGATGATTTTACCTCGGTGAGCGGTTTGGGAAGTCTCTCCAGAGCGAACTCAAAGTGGCAGAGCTCACAGTGGCTGGTACCGGAGGCCGTGAGCCAGCGCTCCAGACAAACACGGTGCACCATCGCCAGAGAGCCGGCACACTCACAGGGAGATAACAGATCACCCGCGCCGCTGCCTTCGTGACAGATACGACAGAACGGCTCGTCAGCGTTCAGACTGAAAACAGAGACCCGGATATCAACCATCAATTCTGCAGATACAGAGAACAATAGCTAAGATCACACAAGATTCCAGGATACTAAATTAAATATTTATGAGCCAAAAAGCTTTTTACAGTAATAGTTCACATAAAAATGAAAACGTATTCGCCCGCAGGCCACCCAAGATTAGTTTCTTTCTTTGTCAGAACAGATTTGTAGAAATTTTGCATTACATCCTCTGCAGTGAATGGGTGCCGTCAGAATGAGAGTCCAAACAGTTGATATAAACATCACAATAATCCACAACACTCCAGTGCATCGATTAACATCTTGTGAAGTGAAAAGCTGGGTGTTTTTAATAAACAAATCCATCATCCATCATTTTGTTTTAACTGGCCAAAAAATAAATCATTCATAATAAAACATCAGTGAAATCAGAGACGGCACCCATTCACTGCAGAGGATCCACTGGTGAGCAAGTGATATAATGATACATTTCTACAAATCCGTTCTGATGAAGAAACAAACTCATTTACATGGATTGAGGGTGAGCACACTTTGAGCAAATTCATTTTGGGTGAAAATTCAGCTTTGAATCACAGGAATAAATTACATTTTAATAAAATATAATGAAATGTTATTTTAAATTGTAACATTTACTGTTTTTACTGTGTTTTTGATCGAATAAAAATTCAGCCTTGGTGAGCATAAAAGACTTTTCAAAAACATTAAAAAGTTGAAATTTTCTGTTTGCTTTTTGTACAGTTTCAATAGTTCATTTTATTATGAAAATGTACTGTAACTTTCACAACTCACAACTTCATCCACAACGCAATATCAAGCAGCAAAAATGTCAAATTTCTGACGTCAAATGTATAAATACGTACACGGGACCGCTCACAATTACATGTTACCAATGTCTAATGGGACATCAGATTCTTTGTGCCAATTGGCTGAATGACTTCCTCAAATCTTGCCCTAGAGGGCCAATGCCCTGCAGACTTTACCTTCAACCCTAATCAAACACACCTGAGCAAGTTCATCAAGGTCTTCAGGATCCCTAGAAAATCACAGGTAAGTGAGTTTGATCAGGGTTTGAGTTAAACTCAGCAGGGCAGTGGTCCTCCAGGAACCCTGATTTTGACCCACCTGATGCCGCCGTGTACAGGGATCACAGAAGAAACATAAGTGCTACTGTGAATGGCCTCCTGTACAGGATCCGTGGAGGTCTCAGCATCCGGTTTCACCAGAACCACAGAATCCGGACCAGCACTGGGTCCAGCTGATGACTCCTCACAGAGCATGACTGCTATACATGAGGCTGTTCATACCTGAAAGTGCAAGCTGAGTGTCATGAATCCGGTCCATGAACTTCCGTCTGCTTACCATCAGAGGTCACCCTTTCCATTACATTGACTCTCGCACTACACCTACTGTTGCTTATCATCCCGGACTACATATCCCATCATTCATTGCACTGATTGCACTTAGCACTGATCGCACACAGCTGTTTCACATCACTCACTCACTATATAGCACTCACTCAAACTACCATTCACTGCCGAGTATTGCTTAGCCTGTTAGTTTTCCTAGTTCCTTCCCGTGTTTCCTTGCCTTGTCGGTTTCCTCGGTTCTGATCTTTGCCTGTCTCCCTGGATTTATCCCTCTAGTCTCGCCCGTGTGATTCTGTCTGCCGATCGTCGACCTACGCTAGCCCTAGGACTATTCTTGTGTTTTGCCCGCTATCTACCTGTTTGCCATTGTTTGACCCTGCCTGTTATGACCACGTCTCTGTCTTCTGTTCAGAATAAAGCTTGCACATGGATCCACACGCCTCACGTCTTGTCAGCCCCATAACACTGAGAGACACAGAGAGATGAGGGACATGTGATAAAATTAATGAAGAGACACTGACAGAACAATAGAGACAGGAGCCCGAGTTTAAGTACATTAGCTTTGTGTGAGGAACAGACTGAAACAGCTGCTTATTTACATGATTATGATTTACTCAATTTTATGTAAAGAACTGCATTTAATATGAACACGAATGAGCATGTGATTTGTTACCTCCTATTTTTATGAATAATTGATTTCAGTGAATAATGACTGAGATGTGTATACGTATATATATATATATATATATATACTGCATATAGTGGACTGTAAGTTTTTTTAACGTTTGTGAATGTTTTTTTTCAGTTAAAATACAGCAAAATCGGTAATTAGCTCCAAAAGTTGTTTCTGAAAGACGCCTTGCCTCTCTGAAATTCTCACTGTCTGCTTGTGTCAGACAGCAAAAGTTCAAAATTTCAGTTGCATGATGGAGCATCACTTTTGCAGACCATTGCTTTTCTCCTCTACATCCTTATGATGAACCATCAATGGAGTCACAACGTTCTCTGAAGCAACATCAACTCTACAGGCATACAACATTTGACCAAACATACACCTCCTAAAACAACTGTAAAATCAGCATTCAGTGACTTAGCAATTAGAAAATCAATGACAGTTTTTAGAAAGTCAGGAACTTACCATCAGACAGACCATGTTCTCCATCCAAACTTTCCATAACACAGGCTCTGGAAGCTTAAAGACACGAAGACCTTCTCTCTCTCTCTCTCTCTCTCTCAATTTAAGAGTGCTCTCTCTCTCTCTCTCTCTCTCTCTACGGTCAGAATTACATTGAGCCCAAGGTCGTTGGTGAGAATAGTTGAGGATTAGCTGGAAGGCAAGGAAAGCACAGGCACAGAGCCGACAAAGGGAAATCCCTCTCACATCACCGTTGGATACACTCCAGGCACCTCCTCATTCAAGCTTTCTTAATCCAGTCAGTCGTCACCTGTGGCTTTTCATTTTCCTGATATGCTAATCGAAGAGGGTCTAAGCTTTGACTGTAAACTGTTGCAGACATAACAACAACAACAACAACAAATGGTGAAAGTGTTGGCCTCATAATGGATGGACCAGGTCTAATTTTAGCCCGCTGGTCTAAAAGCAGCCTGATCTCCAGCTAAATACCTTATTATCTTGTTTGCAGACTGATGTCTATAATGGTGCAACTATAATTCACTCTAACCCATTGCTACATTTGAGTAGGTCATTTTTATTGTGTTGTCAATTTAGAGCTCAAATGGTCTGGTGGAGCGTCAGTGTTGGTACAGTATAATCATACTTGGACATCTTTCACTCTTTATAAAATAGGGTTACAATTTATAGATGCTTTTATCCAAACTTTTATTCCATTCAAGATATAATCTTATCAGTTTTTGCATTCACTGGGAAGTAAACTCATGATCTTGTTGCTAGTATCGTGTACTCTACTGTTTGAGAAACAAGAATGCTGTTAAAATGGTTAATTAATAAATAAATGCACCTACTTATTTAATTCTCTTTGTCCCAGGCCAATAAATAAATGTGCAGATTATTATATATGGCATTTATATTAACAATAGACATATGTCAGAACTGTCAGGACAATTTTTAAATTCAATAAGCAACTTTGTCATTAAAGATTTTTTTTTTAATTAATCATATTATGAATATTATATAAAAATATAATATATATACGGTATAAACATTTTAAAAGAACTATTTAGACATTTACATTAGTGATACAGCTATCAGGATGATTTTTAAAATAAAAGTAAGTAATTTTGCAACTTTGTCATTTGAAACTATTTTAAAAGATAATCATCACACAATATTTCACAACATTTTAAAGAATTTTTTTTAGACATATGATATTTATATTATTGATACACCGGTCAGGATTATTTTAAAGATACAGTTAATTTAAAAATGGAAAATTATTTAAAAATGTCAATGTATACAAGTTTATACAACAGTTCTTTCTGGTTCTCAAATCTGATTGGCTGAGAGGTCTTTCCAAGCATGAGATATTCACACAATATCACCACGGGATCCGTTTCACCGTTAAAGTATATATATAAAAAAAAAATGTTAATCACATAATATATTTATCTTCAGTATTAATCTTTTAAATATTACATAATAATAATCTTTATATATTGCATATACATACTTCTATTTATTTATAAAGGCTACATTGCTATTTGCACTTCTGGTGAGATCACTGATATATTATAGATCAGTGGGTGAGATGCTAACTGCATTTCATTGGCCCTGTACTTGTACTCTGCACAATGACAATAAAGTTGAATCTAATTTAATCTAGTCTAACTGGATTTTAGTAAACATTAAAACACCTATTATGATTGTGATTACACATACATTGTATGATTTTTAATCCATACCATTTTACTAAAGCAATAAGCCAAGAGTGTTTGTAGGGGCCTGTTTATTTGCCATACTTGAACACAACTCGTCATCAAATCACATGACTATTTCCCCCGTCTGGTGGTCAGATTATCTGATTACAAATGTCGCCTAAAGCCAGTAGGAGCAGACAAAACACAAGCATAATGGACGAAATAGCAGATCTTTGAACACGTGAGAAACTCAGCTGCAACAATCACGGGAGATTAGACAGCACAGGGTTAAAACATTCATTTTCATGACTTGATCTCTCTTCGTAGCGCAGATCTAGCTTAGATGAAAGTGCAGAAGGGGAAACACTTAGACAAGTAGTCATATGAGGGACTTTCACTCTCATTGAGCCTCGCCCCATAAATCTACCTCTTTCTTTCCTCCCTCTGTCTGCTCGCTTCTCATTCTGTGCTATTGGCGCTAATCCTGTCTGCTATTCATGGCCAAGCTGCTCGCTAGAATGGCCGGTGGGGACAGACATCAGTGTGGATTCCTTCATGAACCACGTGAAGGGGTGAATAATTCCTTTGACACCTCTTTAGACGCTTGCAGGAGAAAGCCAGGCACCAGGGATTATCGGAGGAATAAAACAAGCTCTGGTGAAAGAAACTTCCTCTTTAATGTTGTGGGATGCAGTGACCTGTGACCGGCAGCGGTGCTATTTACATTCACTCTCCGTCTGGTAGTGTGAAAGGACAGCCTCTTTTTTTTTTTACTTCTAATTTGATAAAATAGGAAACAATAAGGAAAGGATTGAAAAAGACAGCAAGACAGATTTGAACTCATACCATCCGCATGAGCACCAAGGCCCAATGTGCTGCTAAGCCAAGGCTCCAACATGACATGCAGTTTCAAAATTTTCTCTGCGCAAAATCGAATTTTCCTTTAATAGAATTAAATAAGTAAACATGAAACATATTTTGGGTGTAACAGGATATCAAATGAGAAAAAATAAGGCAAGGACTAGATTTTGTCATTGGGAATTTATTGGAAAAAGAAAAGTTTCATAATGAGAAGAGTCTTTTTAACTTTTATCTATCTATCTATCTATCTATCTGTCACGTGACTGCTGCTGTGTAGGAGCGTGGAGCAAAGGAGTGAGGAGACGTAGGAGAATTTTACTAATTTTAATAATCAAAAGGAAACAGAAAAACACACGTAGCAAGGTTGACACGATCAAGTCCAGACCAGGGAGAACAAAACAGGCTAGAACTCAAATAGGGCAGATAACGAGGGGATGTCAGCTGATGAGGAAAACTAAAATGACAAAGAACACCATGGAACAAATTGGAAACAATTAGTACAGGAACGGGAAGGACCAAATTAGGGCATGTAAACACAGAGAAAACAAAACAAAAACAGACCATAAATGTGACATTACTCGCCTCTCCCGGAAGGCGCGTCCCGCGCCGTAACAATATCACCGGGGAGGGGGGTGGGCGCCTCAGGGCAGAGACAAGGAAGGCCTCCAGGGTGGATCAGGCAGTCCAGGTTGCCATGGCGGATCAAGGGACTCAGGAGGCCATGGCAGTGCAGGCAGTTCAGGTTGCCATGACAGAACAGCCTCTGAGGCCGCGGCCCCAGCCCCCGCCCCGGCCTCTACGGAGGGCTCAACTGGGGGACTGGAGCCCTCACTGGAGCGAGCTCTGGGGCTGGGGTGAGGGCTGTGAACAGTCGTTTTCTCCTCATCCTCCTCTCTTGGTTACGGGTGAATTGGGCTGCCGGTGGGCTTGACTGAGGAACGGCCGGCGGACTTGAGAATGCCATGGCCGACGGGCTGGTTCTGGCTCAGGGCCGGACGCTCTCCAGACACTGGAGGATCCCTTTCCTCCAGCTGAGTCCTTTGGTGTCTGGGAGGTCCACGGGGCTAGAACTCAAATAGGGCAGATAACAAGGGGAAGACAGCTGATGAGGATAACTAAATGACAAGGAACACCATGGAACAAATTGGAACTAATTAGGACAGGAACGGGAAGGATCTGGAGCCCTCCCTGGGCTCAACTGGGGATCTGGAGCCTTCCCTGGGCTCAACTGGGGGACTGGAGCCCTCACTGGGCTAATCTCGGGGACTGGAGCCCTCACTGGAGCGAGCTCTGGGGCTGGGGTGAGGGCTGTGAACAGTCGTTTTCTCCTCATCCTCCTCCCTTGGTTACGGGTGAATTGGGCTGCCGGTGGGCTTGACTGAGGAACGGCCGGCGGACTTGAGAATGCCATGGCCGATGGGCTGGTTCTGGCTCAGGGCCGGACGCTCTCCAGACACTGGAGGATCCCTTTCCTCCAGCTGAGTCCTTTGGTGTCTGGGAGGTCCACGGGGCTAGAACTCAAATAGGGCAGATAACAAGGGGAAGACAGCTGATGAGGATAACTAAATGACAAGGAACACCATGGAACAAATTGGAACTAATTAGGACAGGAACGGGAAGGACCAAATAAGGGCATGGAAACACAGAGAAAACAAAACAAAAACAGACCATAAACGTGACACTGTCTGTCTGTCTATCTATCTATCTATCATACATCTTGTTTCACTAATTTTTATTTGATATTTTAACAAACATTTTGACAAAAAATACTTAAAATAGGATTTTTTGCAGTCCAAAGGAAAGAGGTGGACACCGAGTTCTCGCTTTTTGATGATAGTTTATGAAGACATTTTTCGTTCTTTAGAATCACATGCAACAAAAATGTGCACAAAATGAGCAGGAATGTGCAAGAAAATAAAAAAGGGGTCAAATATTTCATATTGACTTTGACTAAAATATTTGTTGATCTATAATTATTTTCTTGGTTCCCATTACAATTCTAGAAGGTGCAACGGACCAATAAAGTTCCCTAACACTATCAAGGATCTTAGAACCAAAATAGTCATAATCTAGCAAAACAAATGAACCAGACACAAGTAAAATTTGTAGCACAGAACAGTATTCGTATCCGTATTCAAAGATATCAGATTATTAAAACTTTATAAAATCACTGATTGTTAAAAGATTAATAGCTGGAAGCTACTTATTAAAATTCAGAGAATGTATCTTGACCATTATCATGTTTTCTAGGCATAAACCTGATCCATGTATCATGTTATTTCTTTTCAGACATATTTTATGTAACAAAACATCTACCAAACACTACATGCAAATAATCCAGTATTAATTGCATATTAAATGAGCTGGTTACACATGTGCCTGTGTGATAAAGGTTCAGACATTGTTGACAGCTCATCAACGATCAATAGAAGCGCTCTAAGCGCAGCCTTCCTGGAAACACAACATGCACAAGTAACACACACACACACACACACACACACACTGCTATAGAGAGCTGA